GACGAAGAAGCTCAGTGAGGGTTTAGTAGACACTGAGAAGCCGCTGTCTTTGGGAAGTCAGGCGCCTTCGACTGCTGTGGCATGATGAACATGCTGCTACGAACTGTTATGTGTGGGGGTTTTCTTTGGTGATTTACTCTGGTTGTGCGCTTGTTCTTCTGCATTTGGGTGATGGCTTAATTATGGGATTTTGGATGACTTGGAGTCTGGATGGATTGCTTGCCGATAGACGTATGATCTAGAAGTCATAGACTACGTATGAAGATAACACTACTTCGTCTTGGGAACCGAGAATCGAGGCCTGATGCTCTGACTTGCATGATGAGTGACGCTGGCAAATTGGCATCTACGTGTATCTTGTCGCCACGCAGCTCAACACTGTGATCGCATCCCTCAACCGCCCACACGGAGCTTTCGCTAGAGTCTATCCCCCATTGGTCAAGTATTTTCTCAGGCGCTCATACCAGCTGTTATTGAGTTAAAATATACCCCGTGTCTTGTTTCGCCTTCGACGCAGAGAGAGTTAAGAGTTCAAATAGCGATCTCGAAAACCTTCTGTGAACCCCCCGAGCCTTTCGTTGGCAAATTTTAAGTACAGTTCAATATAAGGATCAAAAGAAGCTTTATTCTGGTTGGTGGCTGCTAAAGTTTCCTTTAACATCCACAAAGCTTTCTTTACTGTGTGTATTATATATTCTCCCAAGCTCTTCCGTTTCAACTCTTCGGTTACTTGACCTTCATTAATCACATCTTCTAAAGGAAAGCTCTCCCGCACACATAAAACAGCATGACTCGCTGGGGCTCACTCCCTCAAGAGATTCGCACCATGATCTTGGGGTACGTCGTTGCTCACGACCATATCGCGCCCTATGCTCCCGTCTCGTTAGAATGGCGCGATGCCATTGAGAAAAAGACCTTTCGGGACCTTCGTATTCAAGCCTCCTCTTTGGACGCTTGCCATAGCACACCAACGGTATTTCAGACACTTGGTCGCATGGGGTATCGACATAGACGACTCGTCAAACACATATGGCTCAACGTTGAGCTTGAAACGCGGAATTGCGATCGGTCGCGAAACGAGCACGAGACTGTGTGTATCAACGTTGCTATCACACGGCTATTCCAGGCCTTGCAATTATGGCCGGCACAAGACGACTTGACGCTAGAGATCAACGTGTATGAACCTGTGTATCACTCGAAGGAGTGGTTCAGGGGGCATCACATTGGGTGTCCAGGGGAACAAGACGGAGATATGTCTCGTTTGTCAAATTCTCAACTCCAAGAGTTTGAAATGCCTTCACACGCGTCACTACGGGGATTATTCTCATCTTTGGCCTTTAAGCTTCAAAGTGGTCCCTCTGTCCAAGCCGTAACAAAGTTTCTTCTTCCTCGACAGTGCCGACGTCAACTTGAACCAGACACTCTTTCCTGCATACTCAAGCGACTTCCCCGGCTGGAAGATATTTGCCTTGAGACTTGGGATGTCTCAGAGATTTATGGACCCTATTACATGGAAGGTTATGCACAGCGCCTGTTCTTACAGCCTAGTTCCTTCAAGAATGTCACGTCGATGACGGTTTTCCAAGATCGCAACGAGTACTTTAACGCGGTAGCTCGTCGCCGTAGATCGTGGATTCAACGCCATTTCCAGTCCCAATCGAGGCCAACTCCACCAGGCAAGGTTCTTGCTCGGGAGCTCGCTGTAGCAAGCCTGTCGCTTGAGAATCTCTCCCTTTCTTTCATCGTTGACGCCGTCGACTTCTTCAGCCAGTGTCAGGAAACCTGGCTCTGGGCCGACTTGCGTTCCCTTACACTGACGTCCCGACTTCTCACCTGTGACGGAGACTCTTTCGAGATCCACAAACTGTTGCAAACTGCTGCGCAAATGGCCAAGCATATGCCAAAGTTGGAGAGGCTCACAATCTGGAACGGCGGAGCCAATGAAGCATGCGCCTTCACGTATCGCAAGCAGAAATACAACGCTTCGGTGTTGTGGCAGGCAAAGGGGGGTACACGGCTGAATCCCACAGTGTACAGTTCTTGGGAAAATTTGCATCCCGGATACTTTCTCAGGGTCGAGGAAAAAGATACTTGGCCTTTGATCACGTCTCATGCCGCTGCTATCATGTGCTTGGGATTGGAGCATGTGGTGGACGATGTGTCGTTGAGACAGATGCAACTGGAGAATAGTATCCCTTGGGGGAATATCTGAACAACTGGATGAGGTTCGATTGTTAGATTAAGAGATTTACAAAATCTCAGCTTATTTTATGTCAACAAAAGAGGAATGTCATCCTTTTCGTCCGCAAGTGAAGTTACTCGCCTGTGAGAACAAGCTAATTTCCCCACAGGAAAAGCATCGAGGTGATTGTTTTCATCACACTTAGCTCGCTCGCTAGGAACAAAAGTATAATGTCTTCCCTCACTGTACTCAGGCTAATGTAACAGAACGCTCATCATTGCATCTCAGGCGATGAGGACTCTGGGAGAGTCGGATGAGGATGAGGTCCAGGCAGCTAAATAATGCATTCATTATACGCAAGCGAAGTATTATAGGGGTAACTCTGTAACAATATGCCCAGAGCGTCTAAAATGAAGTTGAGAGTGGCACTTCGGATATAAAGGTCAATTGACAGAGTTACCAACGATGTGCATCGTCTTCCACGTCATCTTTGTGCTCTGATCGCCATTTTCTCGAGGTGTTGGACGATTAAAGACAGATTCTCCCTAAGGCCAAAGCATTAAAACAGTGCTTATTCGGCCTCTAAGGAGGATGGCTTACATTCTGGATCATAGTTCGTCACGCTATACTTCATTTACACTCTCTAACCGCTCCAGGCTGCATACGCAACTGACATGACCCTCTTTGGCTACGATCAAGGTGTCTTGAGTGAGCTGACCCCTTGGTATCCTTGAATCATCACCTCTGACACTCTCAGGTGGTGTCGTCGTAGCTCAAGACTTTTCTCAAACTTTAATCTCGTTGAATCTGCAAAGACGAATCTCCATGCCACTGTAACTTCAATCTATGGTATCGGTTTCTTTGTTGGCGCTCTCGTTGCCTTCACTATCGGGGAGAGACTTGGGAGAAACAAAGCTATCGTCGTTGGTACGCTGATCATGTTGATTGGCACTGTCACAAATGTCACATCGTAGATTCTTTTGCAGATGATCTTCGGGGGGGTAGTTCTTGGGTGGGTGGCCTCCATTTGTCTGTAGCTTATACTAATGGGGAATAGAATAGGGAATGGTATCAATACTGCTACAGCCCCGATATGGTAGACAGAGACAGCACAAGCCAAATGGCGAGGTAAACTGAAGCTGCGGATAGTTCAGAATCATTGAATACATCTTAATAGTCGAAGCAGCTATTCAAATACTACTCTTGGGCTTCCTTGTATGTGAATAGGTATGAGACACGATGGGCTGTTGATACACCTCCCCGACCCATGTTCATCCGCAGCCAGTTCTTGATAGTAAATCCCTCTTCGGGTGACTCGTCATCAGATAGACTCTTCATCGTCAGCGTCTTCGTCTTCTCTCTGCATATTCCCACCAATGGCGATCTCAGTCTCTTCACCACTCTCATCATCTTCCTCCTCAACATCCCATTTCATGGCCTTCTCCCCGTACATATCCCTGTAACTCTGTGCCGTGATTGGCAGCACCGCATCCCCATTGTCAAACCTCCTCAACTTCAACTTCGCCGCCTTGAACCACCATCTCTCCAGAAACTCATCCTCCAACTCGACAAAATGCGGGTTTCGCTTCACCATGTGAACCTTTTCGAGCTTCTCTCCACCTGGGCCATTCCTTATTTGTGGCTTKTGCAGCAAGTCATCAAAGATAGGACAGTCAAACCAGGGCGAACTGAGAAGCACATCGCGCCAAAGGCCATCTTCATGGGCTTGCTGTGTCTCTTGGAGATGCGGGGAGTGCATGACCTCGCGCTACCAGGCCAGCATACCGTGCATATCGTGGAAGTCCCAGAGCTGTGCGTTGGGAGCGTGGATGTCTTTGTAACGGCGGTTTGAACGGTCAAGAGCAGTCCAGAAGAAGAATTGGATGTGTTCATTCTTGTATTCCCGGATGTTGGGGCTGCTGCTGAGGGTCTTGAAGATGCGTGCTCTGCTGGTGGCCGCGAGAAGCCAGTCTTCGTCTAGGTTTGATGTTGATGGGATGATGGGGCTCTTGTTGTTTGGATACGGATAGAGGTCGAAAATCGGGGTATGGCTCTTGTGCCATATTGCTTCGATGTTGCCTGGGGGGTCTGGCCTGTAACCTTCAGGGATATCATCCTCCATCGTGAGGTCTCTGTTCAATAAGTAGATGAGTTCTTGACATGTTAGGATGCTTACAAGACATCTTTATAGTCGCAATCTCTGCAAGTCTACTCTGTGAAGCAAACGCCTTCAGTTTCAAACACCGTGAAGTAATATTGGTGGCTGGCAAAGGCAGATTAATTATCGCAAATAAACAATAATTTATTGCAAGCGCAAACTCAAACAGAATTAAATCGAAGCGAATGCTTTCTTCAAACACGAGCCCATAACGGAGAGTGATTCCATCGTATAGGGATAAAGCCGTCACTGTAAGCCAGCTGTGAAAGGATGACAATGAACGAACATGATTCCTCGAGACGCAAACATGTTTACCTCCATTGTTGCTACCAATAACTCAAGCACAAAGACACAAAGACAAAGCAAACAACCTCAATTCACTCAACGCAATGGTGATACCTTCACTTGCTAATCCCTACAAATCTACTGGGCAATCCGCTTAGTAACCCATTTGGGCGGCCCAGCTCTCAAAGCTCCCCAGTCACCTTACGTAATCGCTCAAGTCTGTCAACCGGAATTGACTGGCAGCTCAATTCAATCAATCACCTCACAAACCGAAGACCGCCCAACGCGACAGCAAACGACGAGCCCGCTCGCACGAGGGACGATACGACAGTAGCGACATTCGAGACCAGCGAGCGACATTCATTTCTGCCCAGCATGCCTCAGGATATGCCCCCTCGGGGCGGGTACGAGCCCGTTCAGTACAAGGTGCGTTGGAGGTTTACGGGAGTGCAATTGGGACGATGTGTTGCTTGAGGGTGTTTGGGGGATCAATTGGCTCGGGGGAGTTTGCTGAAATAACTGGGGAGGCGTCACGATCGATTGCAAGCCCGGGAAGACATGGAGCAGTCGCAGGCAGTTGAAATGGACATTTATCTAACTTTCTACAGCGAAACCTCCCCGCGAAGGGTTTCCGTCCCGGTATCCTCCTCCTTGGAATGGGCGCTGTGATGGGCTACGGCTGGTATAAGCTGATCGGCGGCATGCGCGAGGCCAAGTACGTTATCACTCCCTCTGACCGAACATGCATCTACAACAAAACACGCCGGCAATCTACAAACACCCCACGACCACGATTGCTCACACAGAAAACAACGATCTTTTGAACCCAATACTGACAAGTATCAGCGAACTCGGCCGTGAAAAGATGTGGGCTCGCATCAATCTCATTCCCCTCCTCCAAGCCGAAGAGGACCGCGATCAGGTCCGTCGATACCTTGCCGATCAGAAGCGCGAGAAGGAGTTGCTCGGCGACAATGCCAAGGTTTACAACAGTGACCGGTTAGTTCTCTCATCAAGAGGTACCGTTGATAGGGGAATATGCTAACACGGGGCAGATTCGTGAGGCCGACTTTCGCTGTTACACCCCCTCCTACTACAAACTAAACAAAGGGTGGAAAGACGCAAGCTTGTATATATGTTTTAACAAACTGGTTTTACCTGGAATCGAAAAGTCACAAAGAAGACACTGAATACCTCTACTGTGACTATTTGACACTCTCAATCTTCTCCTCCGTCCACTGCCACAGCTTCTTGCCCAAGTCCTCACTGAAACACATGTCATCCCCCTTATTTGCCTTTCCAACGGGTTCATAAAACGCCACTGTCTCATCTCTCTTGACATCACCGGCCGCAGCCCAAGCGGTGTTATATCCACCTTGCTCAACCGTCATCATAGACGGGTTGGTAACATACACAAACATTCTCTTCCAGAACCCCAGGCCTGTGACCAAATTCGTAGCAATAACACCAGGATGGACAACAACGCTCTTGATAGCAGGGCATCGTCGCTCCAGTTCCTTTGCCAGGACGATGTTAGCGAGTTTGCTCTGTCCATAACGGCTCCATGTTCCAAAGGATAAGTGTTCTTGGAGTGAATGCAGCGTCTCAAAGTCGATACCTTGCTTTGGATGGCCTGCATATCCAAGTGAAGTAACACTAACAAATCGCACTTCGCTCTTCTCAGCAGTTTTCTGCATGATTGGTAAAAGAGCCATCAAAAGCGTCGCATTGCCAACATGGTTAACACCAAACTGCAGCTCCAGTCCATCTTGAGTAAGTCCATCAACAGCCATGACTCCCGCGTTTGCGATGAAGACGTCCAATCGATGATGTGTGAACTTCTTCGCTACGGAGCGCATGCTTGCGATGGATGTTAGATCGCATTCGAGGAATGTTGCTGGAACGGGAGATATGGCAGATATGAGAGACGATGCGGAGGCTGAGGAGCGGCCGGTGAAGTAGATGTGAGATGGATTGTGAGAGGCGAGAGTGAGGATAGCAGAGCGGCCTAGACCGGAAGTTCCTGATGACTCGTTAGGAGATGATTGTGAAGAGGGAGGAGGAGACAAACCGCCAGTGATGAGGATGACCTTTCCGGTGAGAGAGGGAATGTCGGTTTCTGGATTGAAGCCTTTGAAGGATACCATGATTGAGATAGATAGTAATTTCAGGATCAAGACAATAAGTGGTGTCAGTTATGTTGATTCAAGTGGTTGTACGAATGTAACAAGAGTTGCTGGCATCTTCAATCAAGGGACATCTCGTCCTTCTTATACGCATTTCACCTATCTCATCATAATTCCTCCGTGTGCAATTCTAATTACAAAGCGACACACTACACGTCATGACTTTGTCGTCTGGCGAGTGTCTTTCTAATTGAAGCGGCATGATAGATCCCCGATGTGAGACGGGTTTCTACAGTAGCTCTCACTAACCCGGTCAGGCTCAAACCACACCAAGATTTGTTAGTACGGGATAGTCAGCCATCCCTGTCTCTCTGTCAAAAATCGGCGACAAGATCTCCGGGTGGAGCGTAATCGATTCACAGTGACGAGCCTCAGCGGATCAGAGGACAAACATGGCACACAATAGCTCATATGTTTTACAAAACCACCCATCAAATTGGATTAGACACAACAACGTGCTTGTAAGACTTGATTGCCCTTGCCTCGGGGTATTACATAGCGTATTTACCAGTACAAATCTCGAACCAACCAACTCCCCTCCATCATGTACACGCTTCTATCTCCATTTTACTGATGTAAATGTAGGGTAAAAATTATCCTATTCCATATCGCGCCTGACTCCATTCCCGAGGTTTCAAGTCTTCAATTCGCCATTGATGCTTCTCATATCTCAGTCCGCCATAAGCTCTGCTAGTAACTCTCTCTCCAACTCATCCTCATCAAAATCTGCCCCATCATCAACATTCACCAGAGGCTCTTTGTCCCGATCCACCACATCTTCGTCGCCTGTTGGAACTGGTGTGGGTAGACTTCCATCTTCTGTGTCTTGGTCGTCGCCGTTGGGTGTTTGTATTGATCGGAGACCAGAGGCACCCCTATTCCGAGCCAGGCGTTGCTTCTTGGCCAGGACACTTTCGCCTAGATTTGAGCCGTCGTCGTCCGACTCATCGGCATCAGCCTTACGCTTGATGCCTTTCGAGTTCTGACCGTCCACGGATTCAACGTCTGATTCTGTGACCGTGGGGGCAATGCTCACGTCGCCGTCGTCGCCAACATCATCATCCAGGAATTCGGCCAGTTCATCTTCAGCTTCTCCCCAGTCAAAGTCCCTAAGCTCTTGTCCCGTCTGCGCATCTTCAGCTTCGTCGGCTTCCGAGGTAACTTCAGTAGTATCATCGCCTCCCTTCTCCCTATCAGCGTCCATGATCTCTAAAAAATAAGGTCGCTCGTCGAGTCGTCTCCATTGACTTAGGCAGTCGGTGAGCCAGTTTTGGTTGACAATTTTGATGCTGGGTATTTTCGCTGCTTGTTGTACCTTCTTGGTACGAGGACGTGATGAGGCAACGACAAGATGTGTGACTCGTTTCGATACTGTATCCAGGACCTGAGCACCATAACTCTGAGCCTGCATACCAATCTCCGACTCCTCCACTCTCACGCCCAGAGGAACAAGCCCTGATAGCACAATCACGAGACCAGACAAGACATTGGACTTGAGTTCGTCGAGAATGTCGCCGACATCCGGGACCATAGATAAGTCGACGCCATCATCAACGGATGCCCTTCGCTTTGACTTGCTATGTGCCGGTGGGTGTGTTCCCTCTTTCTCTCTCCTCTCCGCTCGTCGCCGGTCGTATGTCTCGTAAAAGGCTGTGTGTAAGTCTGTAAGGTGGTCTTGGAGAGCGATAAGCTCCTCGTCGTCGTCAACAAGAACGTTTCGGTGGTGGACAGGCGGTGATTCGCTATCATTCTCGCCAACATTCGTGTCTTGCTGATCGTCTTCCTTGTCTAGCTCTTCCTGCATATGGAGCAATGGTCGATCCTTGATTTGCTTCTCGAGTGTCTTCTCCTGTTCTTCTTCCTGGACCTTGAGACTGGCGGCATCGTCTCCGCCGCTCATTCGAGCGATCTCATCCATCGGTGAAGCTTTTGGTGCTATTTTCACGCCCTTTTCCACCGGCTTCGACTTAAGTATAGGTAGAATATCCGTTCGCTTAGGGAGAAAACTCGAGTTGATGTCGCCAATACCCTTGAAGAAATCGTAGGGCACCACCTTGATAAGATTCGGTCGGTTCATAGGCCACACGTCGGCTCGGTCGTCAATGATAACTACCATGTCTGTACTGACGGGGAACAGACGTTGTAAGCTCTTGGAAGTGATGCTACCATTCTCATCACGACTGATGACCCGGTTTCCAAAGAGCTTCTGTTCGGGGTCAACGATCTTGGCGATGTTGAGGGCGTAGGCGCGTGTGCCCATGGTGTAAACGTGCAACTCATACATCTTGGAAACCTCATCCAAGAATTCCATCAATCCAGGTCGAAGCTTGATATAGTATGTGCAGCCGCTGGTCAATCCGCGAGGGCCGTCATCATTGAGCTGGAAGTCCCTCACATCCTTCACAGCTTCGTAATTAGGATTCGTCGGATCGTTCTTCCACTCTCCGATCGTGGGTTCTATACAAGCATGAATAATAGTTTGATCAAGATCGACAACGAGACTCAGTTTCCGTTGTCTGAGGAGGCGCTTCTGGTTCTCGTGCTCGGCCTTTGTGGCGACGCTTTCGCTGACTCTCAAGACAGTCTGGTCATGGCTCATGTTGATCATAGCGCGATCTGTGTCGAGGTTATCACTCGCCCAGTTGATCTCGGTCATGTCAGCGCCGCACAAACTGCAAAGACCCTGCACCTGAACTTCATGACCGCACGCTTCTTCAACCATCAGACAGGGCGAGTCAGCCGCGATCTCTTGGCCTTCGCGGATGCGCCATTGTTTAAGCTTGCCTTCGGCGGGGCTGTCGAACTCGGTGTATGTGGTTTCATCGCTCCAAGTCTCTTCGTTAACCTTGCGCTTCCAGTGGAACTTGTACTCGAAAATGCTTTCTTGTTTCTTGATCGTATCGCCGGGTTTCTTGAGGAGTTTCGTAACGATGATAGGGTAATGTAGGCGCGAGCCTAGGGGGACGATCTTGTCGTGCATTTTGTGTATCGTTGGTAGGTAAAATGTGTGTAAGGGTTCTTGCGATGATATCGGTAGCCTCTGATCACGAAGATTAGCTCGCATTCATCGGAACTTGCCAGATAAAACTTGGTGAAAGGCTGGGTGGATAAAGTCGCTAGTGATTCTTAGTGACAAAGAAACGTACCTAGCGAGCTCCCCTTTCTTTAATCCTTCGCGGCGCAGGCGCACCAGTCAAGCCCATGGCCTCACCAGCAGATCGTCGCGAAAGTGAATCAGCGCGCCGCCGCAGTCGCACGTGCAAGTCGCAGTCGCAATCGCGTTAGTTCTTCTCAATGGACAATTCTTCGCAGGCTTGAACAGCGTGAATAATGGTCCTGGTAGAATTGGTTCGTGCTGATAACTTGAATGGCTTTGCTGGTGTCTTTTTTTGTCCTTGATGCTACGAAAGAAAGCTCGTACAAGGTGACGCACTAGGTTGGCACAGCTTGTAACGCGGACCAGCTTCTTCCTTGTACTGTTTTCAATGAGCGCGATCACGTGGCTGGCTGGGTAGGTGAGCACCTCAGCTTGGGTGGACGCTGAGAGACTCGGAGGCGCTGGAACGTTATCGCGGCGCCTACCGTAATGTAAATTGGTGGCGCAGTTGATTCTCCGCGATCGCGATCGTGGGTGGGAGTTGGAGTTGGAGTTGGTCCAAGCTCTGCGGTAACAAGTGCGACGTGATGTTGGACAAGTCAAGACAGCAGAAGCGTTTTTGTTTCACTATCTTTATCTTATCGACAAGAATAAGAAACAGAAACAAAAGAGCAGCTCAAGTCTAAGGTCGGAATAGAAATGTGGAGTAACACGAGAGTCGGGGAGAGATAAGATGTCAGAATTGGACGTCAAGACTGTTGTTGTTGTTGTAAAGTGACTGACTGATACTAGAACTTACGTTAGTTATATGTTCCATAACA